CAAATACGGTCAACCAATTACCAAAGTGCAAAAGGCAATTTAGTTGGGAAAGCATAATCTTTTCAACACATGGTGCTGAAACAATTGGATGTACATATGCAAAAAAATGAAGCTTGATACATACCTTATGTTTTACACAAAAATAACTCACAATGAGTCATGGACCTAAATGTAAAATATTAATAAAAACTATAAAACTTCTAGAACAGTGATTTCAACTGGAGATGCTTTTGTCATCTCTTGGGAGGGTATTCTACTGGTGTCTTGTGCCTAGAGACCAGGAATGCTGGTAAATATCCTACAGCGCAGCTACCTGCACAAAAAAGAATGTTAGTTTCTTAGTTGGGTAAAAAACCATGGTTATCTACATTTCCCTTAAAGGAAAGGAAACTTGGTAAAAGGGTTATGATACTCTGTACTGTCTTTGTAACTCCTTTGTACATCTAAAATTATTTCAAAATAAAAAAGTTAAAACTTTTTAATCCCAACTTTAGGGCAGTAGAGTACTTCATAGTCAACATGTCATTTATCAATTTCATAATTTATTTCTCTGAAGACTTCATGTACTTTAGCTGAAGTATTGTTTTGATGTCTTGCAAAATCACTTTAATTCTTTGATTAAATTTATGAAATGTGATAATATTGCCAGTCATGGCTATATGTTGAAAAATTGAGAACAGTAAAATATTTTCAAGTGTCTCCTCTTTGAAGGGGTTTCCTCTTTTATATAACTTAAAATCTTTTTCCACCAGTCTTTCTGATTTCTCATAGAACTTTTTTTCTGAAATAATTTTGTTCCCTTGTCATTGACTATTTCCTCTTCTGGAGTATCTGCTCCGTGAAGGCAGGGACTTCGTTGTAGCCCTGGGACCTGAACTGGCACATTAGAGATGGATGCTTAAATTCTTGTTAAGTAAATGAATTATCTGTATTTGCGTTGCATCTTCCTATTAAGTAATCTGTATTCAAAAGCTGGAGCTTCTTTAAACACCCACTTGACTGTGAACAGATTAGTCCCAATCCTGGTATCAGATAATTTACCCAGAGTGAAACTAACACCTGTTTCTTAAGCAGAAAGATGTACTGGCTTACACATTAAGATTTTTCATGGCAAAAGACAAATTCATACTTTTTCAAAAGAAAAGATAGAATGGAAATATATTTGTCTTTTGCCATGAAAAATTTTATACTTTTGTGGTAGATCATTCTTGTTCTACTAGAAGGCTTTTACCACACCTGATTGAATGCTCTGCAAAGTGAGCTGTTTCCATTTATGATAATATTTGAACCACTTCCAGAATATATTATAAGTTTTTCTGTCCAGTTGAATTTTGGGGTAAAATGTTTTCATATGAATCAGATTATTTCAAATGTAAGAAAATTTGTGATGAGCATTGAAGGTGGAAATTGGCAAGCATATGTCCACCTCTTACATGGTAGCACATGGCAGGTTTTATTAAGAGTTACTTACTGCTCAGTTGAGCTGAGCAGTGGAGACACACATGAAGGAATGATAAGCTCCACCTGGGAAGGTATGGGAAGGCTTCAGAAAGGATGGGACCCTTAGACTGTGTCTTGAAGAAAAAGGAATAAATCATCAAGCAAGAGTAGCAAACCCTAAATTGTAAATGTTTCCACTTGTCTTAACTCTCTTCATGAATAATATGTATAGAAATTAATTCACTTTTAAAGTAGTATCTTATAGAACACTAACCTCTCCCCAACTTAGAAAATTTCTGCCTTCTACAGAAAAATCCACTTTCTCACTGTTTTTTATGTGGAGGATGAAAAACAAACCCTTCCTTATTCCACAAACAAAATAATGATTTAGCATCTTTCTCAAATATTTAGCTAATTTTGTGGGTCTAGGTGAACAAATATATTTTTATATTTAGACATTAAAAACTGTTAGAATTGACAATTATCAATGCACCTACTTATTTTATTGTCCTAAAATATTTTCATAGATTCTGTTATTTGGTCAGAATTGAAGCTGAGAGATGTTCACAACAAATAAAATTTAGAAATCAAAGAAAATTTCATGGATATTTTGAAAACACAAAGCTGTGGGGTCTGTCTTAAATAAGGTGTGTTTTATTTTCCTATCATATTCATCTTTAAGTAAATTATATTTCAGTGTAGAAATGTATTTCCTAGACTATTTGAATGGAGTTTGATAATAGAATGGCATAATGCAATTCATCTTTACTAATTTACTGCCATATGTCTAGGTTTTCCCATTAGGAGCTGAAGGGAAGATAAAATATCATACATTCCTTTTAGGGAGAGAAAACATTTTAAATAAATTACTTAAATAATAACTATATTTAAAATAAAGTACTAAGATGAATCTGGTCAAATAATAATGCATGATACAGGGATTTAAGTGCTATGGGCAACCAAGGGAACCAATATTAACAACATCTAGAATTACCATGGAAGTCATAGAAAATGAGGAAAAAGGAATTGAGATGCCCCTGGACGTGTGAGCAGGATATGCATAAAATTGGAAGAACTTTCTAAGCAATAAGAACATAATAAAATTGTGAAGACTGCATTATAGAGCACCATAAAGACTGTCTGACTGAGAGCACAGGATGTGTGTTTCTGGAGAAATATTAATATAGTGTAGAAGGGCTGACACAATATACTTAAGCTGGCTGTCCGTGAAACTATGGCCTAATGCAAAGAAAGTAAGGCCTAGTTCAGGTTTCCCATGGATGAACTTTTAAAAAAATTATCTCAACCTTGAAAAGAGTATTTCCTTTAGCATATTCCTTGAAAGCATTTTTTAAAAGACTTTTAACTGAAACCCTTTGTATAAAGCAATATTCCCCTTGCTATTATATGAACCTTCTATTAATTATATTAACCTTTTGTTAGTATAGTGGTTTTTACGTAAAAGTGTGTTCTGTAGTCAAATAAGTTTTGGAAATGCTAAATTAATGTTAAATTTTTTTAAAGCTATATGAATGAATTTTCAGAGCCTTTAATATGCTTATATGATTTGTGAATCTCCAAGAGAAAATTTAGCTGATCTCAGAATTTAAAATCTTTCCTCTTATTTCTTTTTTCCTTTCTGTAGCATTGGTAAGGATTAGGGTTTCTTGGAACAAACTTTAGAAAATGATGATTTAAAGCATCTGTATACATACTGGAAATAAAATGTTCACTGAAACAAGTCTCTAATTGAAGAGTAGAGATACTAAAAATATAATATCCAAGATCATTATTAGCCAGCCTACTTTGCTAGTGGCTAGGAAACAAAGAAGGGAAATATAACCATAAATATGTGGGTAATTTAATGCAATTCATCTTTACTAATTTACTGCCATATGTAAATTCACAAGCATTTGGCACACAGAATCTGTTGCATAAACTTTTTTTGTAAGAATTTTCTCTAAAATTCAAATTTATCTTAACCAAATGATAAAAACCAAGGAAGAAAATTTTAACTCTTTTAACAAGATTTCAAAAAATATTGCCTCTTATTTTGCCACAATCTCAGAATTTTTTTTTAAACACTATTGTTAAGGAATGTTACAGATAGCCTCCAAGGAAATACTTTCAAGGACAGTTTCAAGAGTTTACCTTTAGAAACAATTTCCTCATTTCTCTACCTGATGCTTTACCAATAGCATCATGAGGATAAAGCTGTACCACATACTTGACCATATTTTATGGTTTATGGTGGAAAGAACACAGCTTACTTAGAAAAGTCCATCTGAAGAAAGAAAGAAAGAAAGAAAACTTGGTAAAGAATCATTTGCTCCTAAAAAGTGCTAGTCAGCTCCTCTTCTGGAGTTAGCAGTGATAATTAAACAGAAATAATACTGGTGGACTCAAAGCTCCATTAATGGGGCAGTCCAGTGAATGCAGCTATCTGCACCAATGAGGATGAAATGCCATTTGAATTGGGGAAAGTGAGAAGGAGCAGGAAGGTGTCACCACCACACATTGAGGGTGCCACCGGACCATCTTCTGTAGATCAAATAAAGCAAGTCAGCATATAACTAAGCAAAAACGCAAACTGGGAGATGTTTTAGGGCTTTGGTCTTTCTAGAATAGTGTTTCCATTTCCCTTTATGAGTAAAACCTTTTTTTTAATTTAAGAATTTAACATAGAAAGTAGTGGTCCTGCTCTTACATAGTTTTGGGCCCCTGGTGTTGTGGTAATAAGGTATTAAAGGTCATATATTAAATGGAAGATCAAGTAGTGGTGTAGCATTAAAAATCTTGTCTTAAAAATTCTGGGATTTCATTAAATGGATCTGGCGGTATTAATACATAGGTAATTTATTTTATCAAAGGAGAAATGTTATCCAAAGTAAGCAATTTGTAGTACTGTATGAAAATATTTTTATATACAGATATAGTGTCAAAATTAAATATACACATTCCATTCATTAAAAGGCTAATATATATTATTCTCTTAAAATATACCTCCCAAATTGCAAAATCATTTAGACACGTTTTATTATACATAAATGACAAAAGTAACTCAGAACTAAGGTTTAACATCCATAGACTAGGTGGATTTCTATTTTTTTAAAAAAGTGTCCCTTTTTTTTCATTTTAAAACATTTGCTATACCATTTATTGAAGGCATTTTGTTATATATTCATGTTCAATTACATCTCTTGATATCTCTCTTAAGTATCTTGGACGTCTTTATGCTCTTGCTTCTTTAACGTGCATGACTGTCTTGTTCTCATGGGCATTGTCCAGAGGCCACTGTTAACCCTAAACATCTCCAGCACAGCAGATGAGAATTTCTGTTCTTAATACAGTATATTGATTCATAGTGGACCATAAAATTATTTTAATAAGAAAGCAGTGTAAATTTTGAATTCTGTAACCTTTACATACTTCATAGATTTGATGTCTTCTCCTGAAATATTTAAACAGGTTTGAAAAGTATTATTGCAACTGATAACTTACATGAATTGTCTTACAAAACTCAGTAAAGAATTAATACCGATTGATATACGTCCACATACATATGAAATAGTTTGTTGATTGCAGCATTCAGTTTCCATTGCTTGTATCCATTTTCTAGTAATATAATATGGATTTCTTAATTTCTCTAATCCATTTTACCAGGATGCATTCAGTAACTTCCAGAAGGCATTCCACTCCAAAAAAAATTTCATAAGCAGATAGATTCTTGGAGGATGCAAGTAAAGTTCATATGTTTCTATATCGCCACTCCATATTTTTCAGTGTTCTTTAGTGCCCCTCAAAATTTTATTCCAACAAGTTTTTATCTTTTGTATTAGTCTCTTTAGGAAACACAAGCCATTCTGTTTTTTCTGTTCCTTTAAAGATTTATTTTCTTCCTGGAAAAATAGATTTTAAAAAGTTTTTTAACTTCACATTTTTATAAAAATGCACATTTTTAAAGATTCAATCTTTAATTTCCATCATGTTATGTTACACAGAAAATTTGGTATAATGAAAAAGGAGAATGATGCATGATATTTTTAAAACTATGATTTCTAATTGTGATAATTGATATGTAGAAAATTCAAGGTTGATATGGTTTAAGATTTAGGATTTATCAAAGAGCTATGTCAGCTAGCTGCTATATTCATACTATAACAATGGACATAATAATACTATTTAAACTTTAATGATAAAGATAGCTGTATATTACTCGAATTTATTTTTAATATGGAAAATGTATTTTTAGTGGAAGGAATAAATTACACAACAATATTCAGATTACTTTAGCAAAGATAAGGAGGACATACCTGATTGAGCTTGTGTCCTAAAGTCTACCCCAATAATCAAGCTTTCACTGGAGTATGGCAGATAACTGCCTCATAAGCTAGTTTTTAGCACCTGACAAGAATCTTAAAGAGAGCTACCTATACAATCTTTAGAAAATGGAGAAAAAGATATGTTACGTAGAAAAGACATATAAGGGATTAGCTCTGCATAGACTCAGCTATATTCCTCTGAGCCCTCTGACCTGGGGGAGTGGGATTCTACAGGGTAGGGTAATTCTTGATTTAGATAACAATCAGTTATTAGGTATTTTCTAGGTCAGGTATTGTGCTCAATACTTTAAATACAGAGCATCATTTTATCTGCTTAATAACCCTATGAACATGATGATTTCTCATTTCACAGATGAGGGAACTGGTCTACAAAGAGGATAAATAAACTGTTAGGGTCACACGTCAAGTAAGTATAATGACTAAGTCTTGAACTCATCTGTCCTATGTTCATTTTAGTCACAAACTTGGATCTCTTAGTTATATATTTAGTAACATTAGCACATACCGTTTGAATAATACATTTCAAAAATTAAACAACAGATTTCAAAGATAAATATGTGCAACAAAATTCATATATTACTTTTAGTGAAGGTTCCAGGATGTTTTAAAAGTACAAATTGAAGTTGAACTTGACTAAGCAGATTTTTAATATATAGATGTAAAAATTTCATATTTTCCTCAGAGGCAAAGCATGAGCACTCATTAAAAGGACAAAAATAAGGAGTCTTGATTTTATTTCTGTAATCCTGGGAACATAGATATTATTTCCTTTTGCTAAACTTTCTTTCCAAATTCTTCAAATTCTTTTAGTCAGAAGCCATCAGTACATTTATATTGCTTTTACATCATGTGTTCCTTTTCATTCATTCCAAATCTTCCATTTCATATGGAATTCCTAGGGTTTCCCGAGTCCCAGGGTGTGCAGCCTCACCCTACTTCTCTAAAAGGATTAAGGAATTTCCATGCTCCATATATATATTAGTCAAATAACATAAATAATAATGAAAATATTAAAGAAGAAGCCATCACTCTCATGAACCAGATGGGCTCATTTTTTTATGCTCCACCTTAGTTAATACATACCTCATTTTAAAGATTAATCAGATTCAATTAGGTGTTCTACCTTTTTAATTCGTATTTTCCATATTGCTATATGATTTTAATATCTGATAGTTTGTATATGAATATATGTAAATACTTAAAAATTATATATTATTTACACTATACAATCCATACTAATAAGTGTAAGATAGATCCTCCTTGTTTAATTTTTATTTCTTTACAAATGATCAAGGATTTTTTTTCTTTATGTACTTGTTTTCTAGTTTATTTTCAACTATATAAATTGTTCATTTCTTTTGCCCATTCTCTATTAATGTTTTAATGTTGTTTCTTTTTAAGAAAATAATACTCTGATATTTACCCTGGCTTCTTCTATTTTAAAATTGTGTTTTGTTTTTTTTTAATGTAGTTTAAAGGAGTCCAGAGGTACCTCCCTTCTCCTTTTGTTAACATTATACTGAATATTTTCAAAACTAACCATAGTAAAGAAACAATTTAAAGAGAAACATTATGGAATTAAGTTGAGTGAAAAGTTGATGAGCCATAAAGAAAATTATAGTTACTCTTACCAAATTCTTTGTTGGTTGGGCTTCACTCAGGGAAGGAGATTTTCTTCCTTTAACCTTAAAAATAAAGTCACATTTAGAATATGGAATAGTAATCTTTTATTACTCCTCTCATTGTTTGTAATTGCTAATTTTCATATTATTTTCAGCTCATCTAATTTATATGAGAACCTACTTTAAGTTTCTATTGTTAAGATAGTAGAATACTAATTTCATTTGTAAATATAATGTCAGGGAAAAGGAAGGAGTGAGAGAGGTTAATCTGAATACCTTGGGTCTATAATTTTGTAGGTATGCTTAGCAGTGCATTCATTGCCGTGAGGTCTAAAAAATTAACACAGAAGGGTATACTGACAGACAAAAAACTTGAATTTAAATCAACACGAAAATAATGTTTTCTTGAAATTGTCAAATTCTGGCCATATATTTTTACTAAGCTTCACTCAGCAGAAGCAAAATGAAATAAAACAATAGTCAAAAGTTCATAGCACATCTGGCTCATGGAGCAAATTCAGTGTAGCTGACTGTCTTTAACATCTTGCCTTATCATTTCAAGAAAGGGTGAACTGTATTGTTATTTTATGTTGTAACTTAATTTTATGTCAAGATTTAAATTATTCATGCATTTCCTTTCTGTACAGTTAGTTGATTTTGGAACCTGGTGATTCACACACAGCTCAACATATATGAGAAGGAGTTGCAAAAATATAGCATACTTATGACCTTTATTCTTTCCTAGGCCATAGGTGTTATCAATCAATCATCTGTTTTACACTCTTTTTAGCTGAGCCCAGACTCAAGGCTTATAATCAACATAGTATTTCCAATAGTCATAACTAATCAACTGAAGGTGCAAGCAACATAAAACCTATCAGCCATTCTTGCATTAGACAGAACTTTGAAATCACTATAAGTAGGATGTATTTCTGGTAGACTAGAGTTTAAAGTCTTCATGAATCTTGAGCTGAGACTTGAAGGATGCATAGAACAAGATAGATCAGATTTACTAAAAACAAAAAAAAAAACAAAAAAAAAACAAAAAAAAACAAAGCCTAAAAATTCCCTTTAGGGGACAAATCTAAAAGGGGTCCAAAATTTAGAAATAAGGCTGGCAAATCTAGCACACTAAAAGAAGACTGGCTCCCATGAAGTATGTAAGGCAATGATAAATAAAGCTAAATTATATAATCTCTATTTCAATCACTGTCAACAGAGTTCAAAGATAACCTTACCATTTTACCTTCTATGGGAAACTACTGGTACTCAAAGCAAAACAAAATTATTTTTTAAATTATAAAAATGTTTTTTAAACCACTTTGAAACCATAAGAAACCTTTTGACTTAGGGTGACAGCTGGTAAAATCTCTAAGAGGGGAATAATAATAATAAAAAAATAATAAAACATCACATTAAATACTGAAAACTTTTTAGAACTAAGTCCTTTACTTGAATTATGCCATTTAATCTTTTCTGCATTTTTCAGTGTAGCTCAAGACAATGCCTTCCAAATTTTGTTTTGTTGTTTTTAGTTCATAACTGCTAGTAGAATAGTAAGAAAAAATAGTTCTATATGTATCAAAATTATTAAAGCAAAAAAAAAAAAACTATTGGACATATATATACCCAGTTTTACCAAATAAAGATGTATGTTAAATACACTAGAATTCCTGTTTTATCGACTAGGAGTTCTTATAAATGTGTACATATATAGATTAAAACTAGTAATAAGTTTTACAGATAAAAATTTGCCATTCCTCACCCAATATATCACCTTAGACTCCTTGGAAGTTATTATGGCAACGAAGTATTCAGTCACTTATTTTTTACTCCCCTTTCACAAACTGTTAATTCACGGTAGCCAAGAATGAATAGATACTTTCCAAGTTCAGACTTTCCTCTTCTAGAATTGAGTAAATATATCTCAACTTTAAGTAATAACAAGCACTTAGAATTCTATGATGATGGATATGATCTTAGTACAGGAATAGTTTATATATTTGTTTAAAGTAAACATTCCTTAGCTTACCTTGCTGGTGCAGTTCAACAGTTGTAATGTGCCTTGTGAAACCATTGATAAGTGGTGATCGAAATTGTCACTGTTATTCATTTTACGAAATTGCTTCAATTTGCGAGCAGCACGATATAGAAACGTACCTTCCTATTATAGGAAAAAGTCAGAAGGGCTGTGGTTCATATAAAATATTAAGAAATGATAAGCTTTCTTAAGGAGCCTAAAGCCAGAGCTGTTTTGCTAAGTAAATGCCCCACCTCTGCCCCAGCCTTCTATTCCAGTTAATCACGTGACTGACAAATAACAGAACAAAAACTGTTTAGCTCCTAGGTGACAGCATGGTGTGCCTAGAACTTGGTTTAATGATTATCTGACTCTTAAAGTCTTGTCTTTATTATGTATATGTGTTCTTATCTCTTAGGAGTGAATATATTACAAGATTATTCCATTTTAAACAAGATAAGCAAAAATGAAGGCTTTTGGAAGCAATAATGATGAAAGATAGGCATGATTTTTCTTAAATGTTATTGCTTGTACCTTTTGAGCTATGGGTGAATAGCTGGTAATAAGAAAATAGAGGGCCATAGTCACCTAAAACATGTTTGTTTGTTTTTTCAGATATTTAAAGTAAGAAATTATGAATAAAGACTTTATGGTTGTATTTTGAGATGCCATGAAGTTGACTCAGCTATTGTGAGTTTTAAAATAGCACACTAGTTTCTGTAGGAAGAAATGACTCAAACTTTTGGAGGTTCTGTAAATTGTAATATTATATCAACTAGAAATGGTAATCACTTAAAGATAAGCAAATATTGAAAAAAAAAATTTCAAAATGCCCGCAACTAAATTATACCAATGACTAATGTTTGCATATGTGCAAGCAATCACTTTAACAAGTATTTTTCTATGTAAGAAATTCAGAAATAAATGATATGTGTATCTTTGACTTTAACAGTTCTAGTATTTTCAAGGTGAAAAATGGAATGGTAAAGCAGAAAAAAATTACCTAATAGGGTTTAGGGTTATTTGTAAAACAAAAGTATAAAGACCATAGTATAACTTAATAGATCGATGGGAATTGTGCGGTTATATACCCAGAAGAATATGTTATTAATGTAATTAATATATTTGTCTAACAGAGGCACAAATATATAAGCTTCTATAAAAATCAAGCCTGAGTGACAAACAAACTCCAAATAATTATCATTACCTTATTATCATCACATAAATGTTTTTTAAAAAAGTTAGATTCATTATTCAGGCAATTGCTACCAATTTCTTTCATGCTGTCCTGTAATAAATAATATAAAATAATATGGTTAAAACTGAGGACTTTTCTAATATGTAGTAATTATAAAAATAATAATCTTATAATAGCTGACATTTATATGTAAATTTTAAGAAAAATAACTTTTGCCTAACACAGCTAACTAGGCACGAATAGTTTTATATAGTTGAAGAATAAACAAGTATATACACAAACCCTCACATATTTAGAGTACCTCCCAGACTTCATAATTGAATCCCAAAATTCACTAAGATAATCTGGCTTATTTAGGGAAATAAAAGTACCTATTTTAGAAGTTATACATATGAACAAAATACTGTAAAATTTGAAATCTTTAAGTTGAGATGGTTGTAAGAGGTTATTTGGTCCAATTTCCTGCCCCCGTGAAAGAACAAGGAAGGGAATTTACACTAGAATGAATGGAAAAGCTCTTGACAGTGAGAGTTATGGTTGAATGAATTTCATTCTACAGCATTTTTAACAATTCAATGTGTCTGAGATGGTTGAGGTAGAAGTTTGCTGAAAAACAGTAGAATGGATTGTGTATGTATTGTAAATGTAGGAGTAGAAAGCAGACTGGTACACACTCATTTTTCACTTCTAAGAATGTAGTATAAGAAGGTGGAGATTACCTGAATCAAGAATTTAGTTGACATATTAGGAAGAACTTCCTAAGGATTGAGATTCTTTTTGTTGGACATAAGCTCTGTCCAACAAACTAGCAATCCCATGCTATCAGAGCTTCTAGAAGGACTTCAAGCAATCTTAGCATATATGATGTCACCAAAGAAACTAGATAAAAGGTGAAGCAATGTCAAAATTTGGTCATGGGTGTCTAATCTTCATCTGACTCTCAGAAAAATGTGCACTACTCTTATTACCTCTGAAAAACAAAAATGGTTTCTGGGTTTATCCTGTCTTTAAAATGTATATACTCTCTGTTTTACCTGCAGGAAGCAGTGTCTGAATATATAATAATTCATTTAACCATTCGGCACTTACTTGGGACCAATGTTCAAGGTAACAAGCTCCCCATGGAAACAAAAATATGAAAACATGGTCCCAGTTTCCTGTTCCAGTTGATATAAAAGATGGATGCTGTATCCCTTGAACAAATTTATAACACTTCTTATCTTTGAAAAAGTATGCTTTTCAAAACAAGTTTTATTAGTGCCAACTACCCAAGTCATACTGCAAACATCTTGTGTAAAACATAAATTTTCTATAACTATCTTCACGTTGCCATTACACACATTCCTGAAAAAGTAGTGGAGAATTATTTGCCTATTAAGTCATTTTCCTATTGATGTCCATTTAATCTCAAGGACAAGAAATCATACATAAATTTTTCTTTGATAAAACATAGAACATTTAACTTTTGTCATGTCATCTTTTGAAAAAGAAAATAGACAAGTATGCAGCTAATCTATATGATATTTTCCAATTCACCATAAATGTTATATGAAAATATGTCACATAAGTAGTGCCAATTTTATGGAAGATTTTAACAAATTGCATGACACAGGAATATTTAAAAAGCCATATTGGTTAGGCCATTGTTCCAGGTAATTAGTAAAGCTAATTTTTTGGCAGATCTACAGAAAGATAATGTTATACCTATTGCTTTCTTTGCTAAATGTTTGATGCAGAATGTAAAGGTATTACTATACCCTTAAGACATTGACTCCTATAGAGGTGACAATTATTACTAACTAGTTGGCTTTAGTATATTTATAAAACATCTAATATAGGTCAATATTATAGGTCAATATAGGCCAATTACAGATGCTTTCTGAAATTGTTTTCATTCAAGCTCAATCAGAAGAGCTACTCAGAGTAAGAATTACACAATCAGAGAATTAGAAAGAACCTTAGATATCCATCTCTTGATTTAACAAAGAGTAGAATTACTTGACCAAGGTCATTAATAATAGTTTCTCATATGCATCTTTACATATGTAAAACTTTCTTCAAATTTATTATGAATATGGAAAATCAAAAGAGAGAATCCAAGATCACATTGATGGAACTGCATTATTTTCTGGTATAAAACATCATTTTGTACAGTTGTTCCTATAATACATAATATCTGTTCAGGATGTAGAATCTGATCTTCTTTCATTTCAGCATAGTTTTCTTCTATCTTTGAATTTTTTTCTATTACATTTTAACTTTCTTATTTACAAACACTAATTACATATAAAATGGATTTTCATTTTTTCTTTTGTATACTTAACATCTTTTTTAAAAAATTTCATTTTCTGTGATTTTGTGATTTTCTGTGATTTTCTTTGATTTTGTCTACCATGTCTTTCATATATCTGTTTTAATAGGGCACTCATTTCTGGTTTTTATTTTATTCTCCATTTTCCCCCTAAATCTAAAGAGCTCACCTTTATTCTGTTATATCTTCTCTGATACTGTATTGTTTCTGCCTCTTTTTATTTTGGTTTCTTAGAGAAGGTTGAGAAAATTTTTGACATTTTCTACTGCTTTCATGGATAATCTTTTGATCTAAATTCTTCATTTTCCCTTTGCTTATTTATGCATTTATGTATTCATTCATTTGTTAATTTATTTTGGTAGTATCAATGCAGTGTCTCCTTTTTGATTTTCTGGTTATTTTCTGAAGGGATGCTAAAGTAGAGTAGATTATTGTTCACCCAATAAACAACATCTCCATCTACTCCATGGGAGGAGATACTAGTTTTCCAGGGCTGCTGTAACAAATTGCCAAAAATTTGGTGGCTCAAAACAATAAAAATTTATTCTCTCACATTTCTAGAGGCCAGACATCCCAAATCAACATATCAGCTGGAGGCTCTGAAGAAGAATTCATTGCTTCTTTTGTCTTCCGGTGACTGCCGGCATTAGTGTTCATTAGCTTGTGACCTTATGGCTCCAGTCTCTGTCGCCATCTTCACATTCCCTTCTTTGTGTGTGTGTGTGTCATGTCTCCCCCTGCCTCTCTCTTATAAGGACACTTGTGATGGCATTTAGGGCCCACCTGGATAATCCATGATAATCTCACCACTTCAAAATCCTTAATTTAATCCTATCTGCAAAGACTTTTTTACTTTCTAAATTGTAAGAGATTAGAATTTGGTATCTGTGGGTGGTCAATATTTAGCCTACTACAGAAAACTATGTTCCTCTGCCCATTTATGTTATTTGACCAAAAGGCTTGCTTTACATAGTAGATATTAGTAAATTGGACAAAAGCATAGACTTCAAACATATCGCACAACTGTGTTTGACCCCTTGTGCTCTTGACTTTTAACATGAGGAGAAAAGCATCTGGTACCAACTTATGTTTATTATCTATTACTACATAATAAATTGCCATAGAAGGTAGCTTGAAACAATAAACACTTATTATTGTGCAGTTTCTTAGGGTCAGAAATTTGGGGATGCTTAACTAGTAGCTTTTGGCTATACATCTTCCAGGAGGATGTTGGCCATGTTTATAGTCACCTGGGCTTGAATAGGACTGGAGCATCTATTCCCAAGGTGCCTCATTCCATACAGCTATTGGCAGGAGACCTCAGCCTCTCCATAGGCTTTCTTGAGTGTCCTCATAAGACGGCAGCTAATTTTCCTTCAAGCTTGCAATGCAAACCAGAGCAAGGAAGAAGCCATATGCCTTTTATGACTTAGTCTTGGAAATCATACACTACCATCTCCACCATATTCTATTGGTTTGAAGTGAGCCACTAATTCCAGTCTACATTTGAGGGGAGAGAAATTAAGCTCCACCTCTTGAAAGAAGAAGTGTCAAAGAATTTGTGGGCATATGTTAAACTCCCTCATAGCTACTCCTCCATCTAGTGACCCAGAATGAAATATGTAGAGGTGATCAAACCCAAATGACCTGCATACCTTGAATCTAAGATGAATGTATATTGCTATATGCCTCTGTAGTTGTTTATTCTGTAGTAGAAGATGACTCACAGAGAAGTATTACTTTTTAGAACAATTAATTGTCTAAAAGGTGAGAAGGGGCAAAGGTAATGAACTGGGTCAGCTATTCATTCTTACCCAATTGCTATATCTCTGTCATAGTTCTCTTTTAAATTTTTATTTTTATGTTTTTCTCTTTAAGAAAGTTAATATGGCTCACAGTGAGTCTTCATGATTACCTTGGATAGAGCTAAGGAACTAATGTCTACTTATTGCTCAGAGTTGATTGCTACTCACTTTCTCTCCTCCTTCCATTCATTTTGTAGGGCCAGTTCTAAGGACTGGAAACTTTTGGCATAGAAAAGAAAGATTCAGTCTCAAGTCTCTTGCCAGTTTTTAAAAAATAATTTGGTTCTTACAGAAATATTCTTCATTTTTAATCATCACTATCACAACCCAGCCATGCCCCAAAGCTTGTACCACATGAAGGCTCATTTGGGGAACCTTTAAAAATATGCTGCTAATTTTTAGAGAATTAGTACTCAGTATGAAATTTGAAAATGGTATATATTGTTCTTGGAATCTTATTTGAATTGCTACAAATTTTGCCATTTGTCAAGGATATTAGCAGATTACAATATGAATTGGTACTTAATTACTAGTTTAAATGAAAAGTCATTTACTCTTTGATCATATACTTGTTAGGCATCTACCATGTGTCGTTTAGTAGTGGAGCTACAACTATATTAAAAATCATATATGGCTCCTTCCCTCAAGAAGTTTCTGTTTGATGCTAAAGACAAACATTAATCCAATAACCATAATCAAAGACCAACATGATAACTCTTATAAATTAAATATATATATACTACCATGAAAGCCTATATAAGAAGATTTTACTTAGGGACCACAGAGAAGACTTCCCTATAAGGGGACACTTCAACTGAAATCTGACACATGGGTAAAAGAGAATAGGGAATAATAGCTTAGGGAAAAAGAGAATAAAGGAGGATTAAAGATGTAGAAACCAGTATGCATGACTGCCTTGAAGTGAGAGGGAACTGGGCGGGTATGAGCCTGAAAAGAAGGGAATGGGAGAATGC